AATTGAGTTCTTATAATAAATTCCATAACAGCAGCTTAGCAGCAAATGATTTTTTAAAAGTCACTTGACTGTGCAAACTGGTTAGAGCAGAAGTATTTTAATGACATTTCAAAAGCTTAATGTCAACCATCAGTGTCCAATAAATGAAAATTACTTTTAGTGATACATCTGGAAATATGACGGTTTTCTGAGCGGAATTCTCTCAAGCTTTGCACAAAGTATGGGTTTTTATTTTTACTCTGTTAATATAAACTTTTTATACTTCTTTGAGATAAAGAAGATAAATTAGACACTATTTGGAATATTGAAAAATGGGTAAAGTTTTAGGACATGTTAAATTTATTTTTTGCTTATCAAAAGAAAAAGAAAACTATTAAAGGAAAACGATTTCACTTAAAGAAAGGGCAATATTTTAATAAGCAGAAAGGGAAAGGGAAATATATTTTGAGCTAGAAATAGAGTGACTGGAATGAAACACGCAACGAGCCAAAGTAACTACTTTGAAGGGAACAAAGTGATCTGAACATAAAATTTTGTTATGCTCCTGTAAAATTCTGACTTTATCTTCATCCCTCTACATTTAATTAATATTTATATTCATGTTTATTCTAGGTGCTAGCATAGTAGGAGACCTTGGTGATATTTCACCAAGCCTGCCACAAGTGGAACTGCCAACAGTTTACACATGTGTTCACTTATTTGGTAAAGCGAGGTTTTGGTCTGTGTGGACAGCTGAAGTGACAATGGTTTCAGCAATGTCTCCTGTGAACACAGACCTCAAAGTTTTTGTTGCTGCTTTATGGTTCTTGGCAATGTGTGTATCTAGCCTTTTATATCTGTGATTTTTCTCTTGGCATGATGCATTTGAGATATAAAATGCTGTGTATGTTAACAGTCTATTCTTTTTATTGAGTAGTACTCTATTCTATGGAGGCATTACAGTTAATTTTTTTAGTTAAGGAACTTGTGGATTGTTGAAGATTTTAGAGATAAAATTGTCAAAAACATTCATGTTTCTGTGCCAATATAACTTTTTCATTTCACTTGGATAAATATCTAGGAGTAGGATTACTGCATTATATGCTTAGGTGCATATTGAACTTTATAAAAATCACAAATTATTTTTACTCTGATCATACTATTTTGCATCCCTATCAGCAATGCATGGAAGTTTTAGCTGCATTCTCATCAGTACATGGTATTGTTAACAATCTTTTTTCTTTTTCCCTATCTTCTTTTATTGTGTTTTGTTTCTTGAGACAGAGTTTCGCTGTGTAGCCCAGGTTGGCTTCAAACACAAGGTAATCCTGCCTCAGCTTCCTCAGGGCTGAGATCACAGGTATGTATCACCACACTTGGCTCGTCTTTCTTTTTTAAAGAGATGTATGTGACTAGTAATTTCAATTAGCACTTCACTAATGACTAATGATATTGAGCATCATTTTATGTGCTGTTTATCATCTGTAGCTTCTTTAGCAACGTATCTGTTCAGATAGTTTGCTCACTAATGATATTTGATTGGGTGATTTCTTATTGCTGAGTATTGAGAGTTCTCTGTATGTATTGCCTAAGAATTCTGTGTCAGGTGTGTGATTTACAAATATTTTCTTCCAATCTATGTTTGCTTTTATTCTTTTAGTAATGTTTGCAGAGAAAATGATTTTCTTGTTTTTTCCCCACATACTTTTATATATTTAAATCATTTCTTACACTAGGGAAACTATTCAGTATTCACACATGTGAGTTTGATTTATTTCACTTATGAGTATGGTCTCAAGCTGCGCCCATTTATTGATAAATATCTCAATGTGATCCTTTCTTTATAGCTGAGTAATACTCCATTGTACGGAAATACCACAACTTTTTTATCCATTCCTCAGTTGATGGACACTTGGGTTGTTTCCAAGATCTGGTGATTACAAATTGTGCTGCTATAAACATAAGTGCACATATATCACTGTGGCAGAAAATGATTTTCTTTTGACAAAGTAGGATTGATTTATTTTTACAGATTGTGCTTTTTACTTTGTATCTTAAAATTTTCAGTCTTGGATTTTTATATGTCAAAGGTAAAATTTGTGAAACCCCCCAAAAGAACAAATTCTTCCTAGCAATAATAAATTGTCTACTAAATACATGTTAGCTATATCTTCTAAATGCAAAATCAAATAAAATATTAGATAATTTATGAAGGAAGAGCTAAATTAGATGTAAGAAATAGACAAAGACCTAATGATAATAATTTCTACAACACAGAGCTAAAGACTTTTGGATTTTATATAGTACTAGCATGTCAACATAGGAAAGAAATGCTTGGTGAGAGTTTCAAATACCTATTCATTTGTCACCCATTTATATATTTTACATTTTTCATTGAGCATCTACTATGAGTGAGGCACTATGCTTTACATGTGGATACACAGAAGAATATAATGGCAGGCAGAACTTTTGACAAACAAATCAATAGATAATCAAATAATTCAGCAAAAACTGTGATTGACACATGTTCACAGTAAACCCTGCTTTTTTTGGTACATGGCATAGAAGTAGTAGTTTTATCATGCTTATCTGTTTGGAGTTGTTTATTTGTGTGATCACTTGATTTAAAATCTGTCTCATGCTGCAGGAGAAGAAATGAAATGTATGTCTTTATGATTGCACCTGACACATTGCAGGATCTGGATTAATAGCCATTGACTAGATAAAGTGCCTGCTGCTGAATGAGTACTGGGGGAGGAGTTGCTAATTCTGTCCTTGGCAGTTTTGAAGATTTCATTAAAAAGGTGACATCTGAAATGAAGGTAGGAAGTTGCTACTGAGCAAAGGGGTGTGTTGAGGAAGAGAAGGGCAACATTCTAGAGCTGTATGGTCTTGGTCCCTGAGCTGGGGATGAGGCGGATAAGGTGGGGGAGCTGGGAATGAGGGGCACGGTCAGAAAGTTGCCTGTGAGGCAGGATCCCCCAGAATGTTGCTAAAGCTGTAATCACACATGATGAGGGTCTGCTACTGGCAATAGACGTGTCTAGGAGGGACATGACTTGACGACTATTCCTGAAGACAGAATTATGGTGATGGATAAGGTATAAGAATAAAGTAGAAAGAGGACTTCACATTTTAGCTTTGTTGGCCTGGGGAGTATTGTTGGTAGGTAACAACTTTTAAAGCATTTTTCTGATATTATATGTGACTTATAAAATTCAGTGAATTATAAAGAAGAAAACAAAAAGCATCCATTACCCCAATATATAAAAAATAAGCATAGCTGACATTTCACTTGCATATCTATCTATCCTTTAAAATACATGTTTGAAAAGAGTCTAAGGATTCTATTTCTATTGGGAACTGTGGTCTCATAAGTTGCTTTAATGTACTCAACTTCATTTTGAATTCAACTATCGCTTTAGCTAAACAAACAAAAATGAGCTTGGTGTGATGTCACATGGTTGCATTCCTTAGGAGGCTGAGGCAGGAGGATCAAAAGTTTGAAGCCTACCTGGACAATTTAGCCACGCAGGGAGACTCTGTGAAAAAAAAAAAAAGAAAAGAAAAGGAAGAGATTGAACATGTAGCTCAGTAGAAAGCCCTGGGTTCAATTCCCAGTAGGCCAACAAATAACAAGCAAACAAATAAATAAGTAAGTTAGGCTCATAGCTGAAACTGTCAAAGGCAGAATTTTTTTCCCTGGGAAGAAAACTAAACAACTGGCAGGATGACACTGGTGACATGGCCTCATTAGTAGCAGCTTCTAAGCTGCAGAGGTAACTCAAGGCCAGACACTAAGGGACACAGTCAGGTGCTGTCTGATTAATTCATATTCAATTCATTCAAAGAGTTGGGCCCTGTAGGAAGACAAAGGCAGCGGCTATTTCCTCCTTGTTTCTCAGAAAATCCTAAAGGAACGCTAATTATTTTTGTCCGCTTGAACCTTGAGCTTGTGTAAACTTGGGCACATATATAAACTTGAGAAAAAATTTCTGAAGTCCAGGAGTAGTTGATCAAAACCACTTTATCCTTGGCCCTTCCAAATGAAGGGACTGGTTTTAAAAATGGAAAGGTTAAGGGTGCTTTTATTTGGAGATGAAATTATGGGGATTGGTAGAGGCAGGGAGAATCAGACAGGCCTGAAAAAAAAGCTCCAGGAATAAAGTTCAAGGACGAGGCAGCAGGGTGTCAAAGATGACCCTCGTGGTTCCTGGGGCAGCCCTCCCTGCAGGCTGGGCACGCGCGGGAGTGGGGTGCACTGCACATAGACCGGATGCGCAGGCCCCACTCCCCTGGCGACCCTGGAGTCCTTCTTGTGGAGACTCTCTGACCGCCCCAGCGCCTGGCACTGGTCAGACCTGCAGGGATAGGGATGGTTTCCCGGTCCTTTTCCAGGGTTCCAATTGCAAAGTCCAGGAGCGTGAAACACGATTTACAAAATTAAAAACCAGTCCCTTGACAGCGCCCGCACCTGGTGGCGCAGGAGTTAGGGACATGATTACTGGGGGTGTAGAACTGTGCTCTGGACCAGTCTAACTCAAATCCAGAAGCAAATTCCCATTTCCAAAGGAAGATCTGCTTCCTTATCTCTCTGTCTTCCACCCTGCACACTTTAAGTGGTTTCCGCTTGAGCCGGGTTTGGAGCTCAAGCTGCTCTGCAGCTCCGGTCCCGGAGTGAGCTTTGGCCTGGACCGAACGCTGCTGCGGGGCAGAGTCGCGCACAGGAAGGGACCAGAAAGCAGAGCAAATACTGCTTGCTCGGGACGTTCTCTAGGAACAGGCTGCCCAGGCAGGTCCCAAATCCCCTTTTCCGCTCTTCTGGAGCGCTGTGCCGGGCGCCCCACTACCTCAGGGTGGAGAGCTCCTGCCAGCTGGAGTTTGCAGACTAGAAGAGTTGCGGGGTGCGCCCGGGGCCAATGAGCGCCCCCGCGGAGGGCTCGGCTCCTCCTGTGCGCTCTGATTGGACCCGAGCCCCTCGAGGCCGGGCCAGCCCGCCACCCCTGTGGGCACAGGCGCTAGCTAGCGGGGCGCGAGTGGGCGTGGCGCGCGCGCCCCCCGCCGGCCCGCTCGCTCCCTCCCGCCCCGCCTCCCTCTGGCTCTCTTCCTGCGCTCCCGGCTCCGGCCGCGCGCTGGCGGGGCTCCGCATTGCACACTCTGGGGGCGCCGCAGTGTTCGTGGGATGGGGCAGCGGGCTGCCGCTGGTGGCCGGAATCCGCGCGCAGCCGAGGTGAGTAGAGGCGGGCTTCCCGGGAGACACAAAAGGGAACGCGGTGGAGGCCAGCGGCCCGGACTGATGCGGGGCCTGGGTCGGGCCAGGGAATGGGCCGGCGGGTACCAGGACAGCCCCTTAGGGGACCGCGCAGCAGGGGTCGCACCCCACTTGTGGGTTTTGCTCGGGACTGGACAGAGAGCGCTGCAGGCAGTCTGGGCGGGTCTAAGGGCAGGGTGTGTGCGCGTCTTCTGCTGGCGCGCGGCGGGGTGGGACAGAGACGTCAGGAGCTGCCAAGTTCAAGGCTGCGGGAAGCTTCTCTGGGCGAATTCAGCACGTTCTTGGAGCCAGGCGTGCGTCCGCAGGAACTCCAGCCGGAGAGTTCCCGGCCGCAGAGTGGCTGCGCCCCACATGTTGCTGCGGGGGGGGGGGCGGCGGCGCTGGCCCGGCTTCTGCCACCGCAGCTGCTGCAGGAGGAGGTGAGCTGGGCTCCTCCCAGCCGCGGTGAGGTCACGCTAGGCCCTGCGACCCCCCAGTCCCTACCCGGACCCGGGCGGGCACTGTCCACCTAAAGGATGGTGACTTCGCCTGGGCTTGACCTGGCGACCGTTTTTCTCTCTGGTAACAGCACTTCGGTTGGTTCCTATTTGACGAAGCAATCAATTTCAACTAAAGCTATCAGTGGGTCGATCTTACAGTAACCCCAGAACGCTCACCACTTCTGCCAACACCCCCTTCTCCATTAGTCGCCGGTCTCTCTCCCCATTATAGAACCCTCTCTTTCTTCTCTATGAGGTTTGAAACTTGATGTTTGGACATGAGTATATCTGGAGTGGTCCTAGGTAATCGTTAGTGCCACAACCGCTTGCCATCCTAAGGGACTCCAAATACTTGTTTTAATTCGGGGGTGTTGGGGGAAGGTGGTAACAGGTCTTCCATAGCAATGTGTTGTTAAAACAGCATTGACCTCCCAGGGCACATGACAAAAAGAATGTTAAGCTTTTCCCTCTGGTAACCTACCCAAGGTGTGACCTCCAAAATTCAATTTTCTTTGTGGGAGGCAAGGGAGTTTAGATTCTCCAGAGGGAAGCTTATTTCTTGTTAAATTGACTTGCGGTGACATACACTCTGTTCTGCTCGGCTCTGGCCAGCCATTGCGGATGCCTTGATATTATTAGAGCAATTCCCTTAAAGCCATTACATTTTCTTTCCAGTGAAAGGAACTCAAAGTAGCTGTTTAAAATTTCAGGTCTGCACCTTATTTCTCTGGGAGACTTGAATGGTTACTGTATATGTGCTCACGTGTACCAAGTTTGCAGAAGATATTTGGGCAGTCGTCCATGAAATGGCTTAATGCACATTTATGTTAAACCCATTTAAATGTAAAGCATCTATCTGTTTTCAATTTTAGTTTTCACCTCAACCAAAGGCACTACAGTGAAACTGGACTGAAAGAGGTTTCCTTGTTTAAACAGAGGTTTACAACGCTGAAGTCCTGAAAGCCTGGAGTAAACTCTGAGCTTGCAGGAATAGAAAGCCTGTTTAAAAAAAAGAATTAGTTCCTTGGCTTAAAAATATCAGAAATGCTTCCAAACCAAAAAGACAGACACAGCTCGTAGAGCCACATTTTGAAGCTGTGATAGACTTTTGTCAGAGGAACGTGTATAGTGCAGAAAGCATAAAGCATAAATGGAGCAAATTCTAAGAAAGGAAAATCAAATAAAAAGCATACCATGTGCTGTACATTTTACATGGCACATTGAAATTTACTATTAAAGTAATGTTTTTAATCTCCCTTTGGTAGAGATGGAACACCTGAGGCTCTCAGATTGATTTTTCCAGGGTAAATAACAGAGTTCAAATTCACATGGTTTCCGGATTCTTTTCTCTCTCCCTCCTTTATCTCCCGCCCTCCATTTCTGAATTTCTTCATTCTGAGTTACAACTTTAGTGTTTGCCTATTTCTATTTTCTGCACTTTTTTTTTTTTTCTTTTCTGTTCATCTCATACTGCTGGGGACCATTGTGTACTACTCCCAAAACATTTTTGGTCTCTGCTAAATTTCACTACAAAGATGCAGACTAATAAAGATAAGGAGAAAGATAATAGTGATTTTAAGGTATCACCTTTTTCATCATATTATTTTTGCTAGTGAGTTGTTAAAGATACAAGTACTGAAAACCCCAAAGAGTGATATTCCCAAAGAACGATAGTGTTTCAGTAAAATCATGTGATGTAGTGCCATGGATATTTGAGAAATAAGTAAGTTTCCGCTTTATAACCAGAAACTTATCATTTGGTTTCTAAACAAGAAAGTCTTAAATGAATAGCTAGGGTTATTCTTATTTGAAAAAGTAGTGTTTATTCTTATTATTCTTGTGAAGAACTGGTGAAACAGGTGACTTAAATAAACCAAATACTATTGTAGGAAAAGAAGCATCCATTTTTGAAAAGTCCAAGAATCCTCATTAACTAGTGAAAAAATGTAGTAAATATAGTGATTGAAAAATCATATTATTACTTGCATATCTAGCAATAAGAAACTTAATTATTGGCCTGTTGGTTATTTGTTATAGACCTATCATTTGTATATCCTTTCCTGGGAAGTTATTGCTCACAGTATTTATTTGTGGCATTGATTAATATTTATTAAGATAAGTAGTACTAACTTGTTTGCATTAATGTGAGTAGGTGTTGAATTTATTAAGTCATGGTTAGAGTGTGGGCTTTGGAGTATATCTTGGCTTCACATATAATGTGGAACTGCAGAAAATGGTGAACCTTTTTGTTTCAGTTTTCTTCTGTGTAACATGTGAATTGTGTACCTACCTCATTCAATTTTTTAGTTTTTGCATGCAGCAAATGTCTGGTGATTTCTCAGTGTGTAGCAGCTTTGCTTTAAATGCTACAGGTTTATGAGCAATTTCTTTGCCTATGAAGTTTGCAAGGTGGCACCTGAGATCTAGTGATGTAATGCATTTAAAGTGCTTAGCATGTAACATGACACCTAGCATGAGACACATGATTGTTAGCTGTTGATATGGTACATTCAATTCAGGAAATGTTCACTGAGTGCCTACCAGATACAATATAGATTGGAGCATATAATGAGACTAATACAGATTTCAATTCAATTCATTTCAATTCAGTGTCCTAATGGAGAGGGGACATCAAAGAAAAATGTCAAATACAAAAATCTTTCTCTAAAAAAGGAATGTGATGTTGACATATTAGGGAAAAAATACTTGAGAAAAGTCCAATTTCTCAAAAGAAAATGGGGAATACAAATGTGATTTTAAAAAAAGAGGAAATGTTTTGTGTTTATGCTCTTTAAAATACTGAATTCATAGGGAAGAATAAAAGAACGAACAAAATCTTAGGTATATGTAATAGAAAAATAATATTTGAAGGGTTATGTTATTAAATTGAACCTTAAAAGGGTTACATACACTGTGCACATTAGACATGAGGTAGCCAAAACTTAACTGAAGGGAAAAAATCCTTGCAATTGATTTCTTAATAATGAAAGACAAATACTGTGAAATAAGGATTGTCGTCCACTTGGCTTTCATCATATAGAACGTATGCTCAGAAAGAAAGAGATAAAACAGTGTAAACGAATCCTTTGCTTCTACTTTTGCTGAGTAATATTCTCGCATTCAGCCTCTCCAGCAGTACACACATTGGGGAGGTAATAGATCAAGAAGTGGCAGGTATTCGGGATCCTCCCAACCCAATCAACAGAGAAGATACAGATAAATCACCAGCACCAGGAGGCTTTCACCCAGGTGCACTGAGGAAATGTCCTGTGTCAGTGACAGCAATCTGGGCCTTTGATAGAACATTGGTAAGTGTCCTAAGAGCTTCTACCAGAGGAGGGGTTTCAGGAAGGACACTGGGCTGGTCAAATGTGACCCACATCCATGTGGATGACGGGGAGGTCAATATTCAAAGCAAACAGATTGTAGTAATTAATGACTTGTTTTGGAGAGAAGGGGATAAGGTATTTGAGTTAAAGGAGAAAAATGTATCCACTGTTAATATGTTACAGAAAATGTAATTTTAAAATGTTTCAAAAGCCTAATCAAGTCCCAGCTCCTTCTCTGTTCACAATCCTTTGTTATGAACGGGAGGTTGGCCAAGAAACAAGAAACAAAAGTGGAGATCAATAGGTACTTCTGAGTAGACAAATACGTTCTTCCAGGAAGTAGTTTGGAGATGGAGATGGTCTTATTTAACACATCTTCAATAATAGACAGCTCTTATGGTAAGTAAAAACCAAGCTACGGAAGTTGAATTATGAGAATGTCTTACAGGGCAACCTAAATGGGAAGAATAATGGAAGATTAAAGTCAAAATGGAAAATTGAAGATAAGTACACTCGGAAAAAGTAATCCCAAGCACACTTACAGGAGATGATTTTAAATTCTATTTCTATCAACAGACAACGTAACTGGCTAATATTTCTCAGCTCACCGAATTAAAGTCAATGTTAAGAAAAGAGTAAAGTATAAAACTGTATTGGTGTCATGCTATTTTTAAAAAATATATAGTTGAATATGTTTATGTAAATTTTCTATATCTGTTTTATCAACCTATATTGAGGAAAATATGTTTCAAAACATTAACAGTGCCTATCTCTGGGTGTTTCAGATTGGAGGTGATTTTTATTATAGTTTTTTGTGGCACCGAGGACCGAACTCACAACCTCGCACTTGCCAGGCAGGCGCTTACGCTGCTGAGCTAAGTCCCCGGCCCTTTATTATCTTTTTTTTACTTCAGTATTATTCCAAACTTCTTCAGTGTTGATATATTGTTTTAGAAAAAATGTTATGAAGAAAAGTTTATTATTGTGACTGAGGATTTCATGTAATCTTAGCTATGTCTTTCCGACTTCCACATTTGAAAATTTTATTGTCTTCTACCCTCACCCCCATTGTTTTCTCTGAAGGAAAGCATGCTGAAATGACAATTTTTTTTTTTTTTTTTTTTGCATGTGTGGTATTAGGGGAAAGAAC